ATTGTCTATTGCTATCTCACCTATCAGCGCCAATCATCTGTTGGCTTCCTTTGTTAGCTTGTACCCTTTGTTATTTTCCACCTTTTGTTATCTTATTAATATTGTTCTCCTTTCATGTACAGATATATGCTCTCTGCCTCATGGCATACATTCACATGATGAAGGAGTAAACATATACTCCGAACCCTTAAGTTCCTCATAATAACGAAGTTGACATCTATATATTCTCTTCCTTATGTGTTGTTTTGTTGTTAGTTTCGTACAGAAAATGTGAATTAACATTAATGATGTAGCCACAGCAGTGAGTGAGTGAGTGAGTGAGTGAGTGAGTGAGTGAGTGAGTGAGCGAGTATGGTTTTACGCTGCTTTTAGCAATATTCCAGCAATATCACAGTGGGGGACACCAGAAATGGGCTTCACACATCGTACCCATGTCTGGAATCGAACCCGGGTCTTCGGCGTGACGAGCGAACGCTTTAACCACTAGGCTACCCGACCGCCCCTTAGGATGTTTGAAAAGCCATATAAGGATATATAATTCTCTCATCATCATCTTTAAATAAATTTTTTGTTTCAAATGAGCACATTGAAAATATTTAACAAAACAGTCTTTTATGCATCATTATTTTAGGACACTATCCTTAAGGGTCCAAGATGCCAAAGTTTAAATCCAAAAACATAATAAATATAACATTTGTATGTTTCTGCCTGATAAAATCTCATTTTGCACATTACGAAATCATGTACAGTAAACTATGTTTATAACGAACAAGCTTATAACGAACTGGCGGATATAACAAACTGTTTTTTCATCCTGTCCATTTGCTGTTTATATGCTGCATATATGCTTGTAACAAAATATACGGTTATAACAAACTAAAGTCAGTTGTCCCTTTGCGTTTGTTATAACCGTTAGTTATTGTATCTACTACAAAAAGGTTACTTTAATCTGCAAACACATAGGCAAGCTGACAGCAACCCATGCTTGCCATAAAAGGCCACTATGCTTGTCGTAAGAGGCGACTAACAGGATCGGTTGGTCAGGCTCGCTGACTTGGTTGATGCATGTCTTCGTATCCCAATTGCGTGGATCGATACTCATGATGTCAATCACTGGATTGTCTTGTCCAGACTCGATTATTTACAGACTGCCGTCATGTAGCTGGAATATTGCTGAGTGCGGCGTTAAACAACAGACAAACAAACAAATCTAACAATGTACAGAGTTATTGTTCTTGAATATCCCTTTCATAATGAAGCTCTATAGTGTACTACAGTGTACTACAGTGTACTACAGTGTACAGCACCTGCCTCCTGACAAAGCAGACATTCAAACCTTCACATAATATAGTCAAACCTGGTTCAGAAGCTCTCAGTTCTTGACCTTCATGGTAATAACAAAATTCATGCCTACTTTCTCTAAGTGTAGAGAATAATTTATTCAACACGTTCTTAATGACCGGGGGATGTAATGTAGGAATGCCCCTGCATACATTACACAAGTTAATAGTCATTCCTTGCAGTGGTAGGAGTACACCCTTGTGTAGCTCAAAGGCTTAAATATATATATATGAAAGGGAACAGACATAATAGCATCTCTTAATCGTTGTATCAAAAGAGCTGCAAGGCCTACTATAGGGACAAAATAATTTTTAAGAAAATATTCGGCACTCATGTATGAAAGGTATCCATTTTTTTTAATATTCCTAAATGTAGGTCCTTGGGTCTGTGAGATTTTCTTCTTAGTTAGTTTAAACATATGTTATTCTCATGAAAAGGATTGGGTACAAGTTATCACAACTTAGAACGCCATCTCCCATAGATTTACATGTATGCTTATTTACAGTTAATTTTCTTCTTCAGTTTTAACCTAAGGATGGCTTGATTTTATTTTTTCAACATTAGGATTTCATCCTTTCATCATTTTTTTTCTAAAACTGTATATACCAATAATCTTTATTCAATACATTTCTTTGAAGTTGTCAGGGTTGAATGAACACATTTTAGCCATATTATGTATCCACTTTTGATATCAATTGTCAGAATCTATTCAAGACAACATGGGTACAGACTGACTATGAAACTTCATATCATAAACAAAATTATTGATCAGCTTTGTTGATGTAGTTCTGCAGTGATTCAGGGTTCAATGCCACTGATGCAGGTCATTGACAGCTTCCACTTTGGTGAAACCCTCCATCACAGGTATCAGGTACAGAGCCAGCAGACTACCGGTAAATATCCTAACCTGGCAGACTACTGGTAAATAACCAAGGAGGCCTGGGATTCATGGTACAGACAGGATCTATTTGAAGCACTTCTTCAAAATATTAATATTTTGGGGAATGGAGGACCTAAACACATTGTTACTTTCAGGACATCCTGCATTTGTGGACCCGTGAAGATTCCGGGGTAGAATAGGTCTTCAGCGATCCATGCTTGCCATAAAAGGTGACTATGCTTGTTGTAAAAGGTGACTAACAGGATCGGGTGGTCAGGCTCGCTGACTTGATTGATGCATGTCATTGATCCCAATTGCGTGGATCGATGCTCATGATATCAATCACTGGATTGTCTGGTCCGCCGTCATATTGCTGAGTGCGGTGTTAAACAACAAACAAATTTGTTTTTGGGTGGGTTGGGTGGGGTATTTCCCCATTTTTTTCTGGAACAAATTATTTTTCCAAAACAATGCCAGATCCCCATCCCAGAAGTTCAGCTAGGTTGTCCCTAACAATGGAAATCTGGGACACAGTCCCTTAACCAGTTTATTGTGTATAGATCAGTTCAGCGGCTTTAACAGCACCATGCATAATGAATAGTTCCAGCTTTACCTTGTCTTCATATGTAGCTTATATAAAAATGTCTTTTATTCTTCTTGCACAATGCAAAACCAGTGTGTAAATGGATGCCTATTAAATTTCTATGTCAGTGGTTACAGAAATCTGTGATGATTAATGTATTTATGCTATTAGTCTGTTAGGCCCAGTTGTTTCACCTATCAATAGTATCATGTTCAGACAAAGTATACAACAAGAGGACAACACAGAACACTGTTGCAACACTCCCTTGTCAATACAACATATCAACACACAATGGCTGGCACAACACAAAGATACTAAATGTTCACACACTCTATAGCAGACATAACTCAGACTAGAACTAAGGCCACACAAAAATCAATTCCAGATCCAAAATATTGCAAGGTGACTAGGTTTGTTTTTTAGGGTTATGTTGGAGGGGGGGCCTTTTTTCAAACAACATTATTGTGTACATGGGTCTTGTTTTCAACACCAGTGAATGAAAGACACCAAACAGAGACACTTATAAAAGAGGGAGTATTTAATTCCAACAAGGAATGTGTTAAAAGTACATTCCATGAACTTGGAAGCAACCAAACTGTAATAGTTTTGGACAAAATGAACCATGGTGTCTTGAAGACTGAAGGCACCAAAGAAAAGTGTACTATTTAAGATCTCTGAATTTGGAACAAGGGGCAAAAAGCATTGACCTAGTAGGTTTAACTCTTTCAACACTTAAAAATGATTTTTATAATAATTTTCCGAATACTTAACAATGAAAAAAATAAAGAAATAGGTAAGTGGATATTGTGAAATCTTTCAATTTCCGAAAATCGCCACATTTTTTACTTCCTCTGTGCTTAATATGGACATTATGAAAGTGTTAACTTACATTTTAACTAAAACAAAAATAATTAAGTTGTGAATGAATTATTTAAATAATATTATAAAAATAACTATCATATTTATGAACAGTAGGATTAGACCTTTGAAATGGTGTATGACATGCTGATATCTTCCTTGATAAATGTAGGCTTCATCTATCCCCCCAGAGTCATAGCAGCAAACACCTCTGGTAGACAGAGTTAAAAGAGTTAAAACGACCTGCATGACCACGAGAATCTTTTTCTTTTTAGGGGACCGAACAGATGGATTCTGTAATTTTAACTCAATACTGTATTCACTGTAACAAGTGCCATGAAAGAATTACCATACACACCAAATCAGATTTGTTGTCAGAGTTCAAGTGGTAGAGACGGATTTATCTAGACCTGCTCCGAGGCCGATATTCCACCCAAATCTGCAGCAAATACCAGTGAAAATGTCCACTGTACACCATGTACATTTCTGAGCTCAGTACGAGGTGCTTCTAAAGATTACATCCTAAATCATGGCATACACGGTGGTCAGAGGGTGCTAATTGTAGTGTGGTACTTAGTATGGAGAATACAGTATTCTATTTTGGTGTTTAGTACTTAATGAGTATTATATCTTTAAATCATACTACACATCCTCCCATCCACATCTGTTTATCATCAAATCCATCATATGAAAGTGTGTCAGTCTAATGCTGCTCTGAAAAGTATATCAGTTTATCATCCAAAACTGGCTCCCACAGGAGATATTGCTTGGGTGAGATGGAGCGATATCTACAGTGTAGATATTGCTTCAATGAAATTGCATCACAATGCTTTGCAGACCATTGTGACATCATTGGTTACCATGACGTGACAAATGACATCACTAATGGCTCTGCTACTGAAACTGTTAGCTGTACTTTTTACACTTAAGACACAGCTTATTACTGTCTGCAAACTGAAAAAGCTGGAAGAATGATGTTGGATGATAAATAAAATCTCACCCTCATGTCTTTTGATATCAAATATATCAACACTCGTTTACTAAAAGTGGAAAAACTCATCATCGGCAAGCCTCAGAGTTTTGCCACTTTTATCAACTCATGTTGATATATTTGATATCAAAAGACCCTCGGGTGAGATTGTCTATACATTTTCTGCTTGAAGTGAGGGAAAAACTGAAGTGATCCAGGTCTTATATATACTACTTTGGTGAAACCCACAAGCACAGATGTGGTGCTGACAAACTTAGAACCATAATCACATCGAATCTGGGGTTTGAACCTACAATGATAATTTTCTGGTACACCTTAGATGAAATCCTTAACTGAAATCAGCTTACCCTTGTGAGACTTCTCCCCACACTGCGCAGAAACACATACTCTCGAGGTGTGAGGTCCTCCAACTGTTGAACGATGTCATCTCGGAGGTCGGCCAGCCGGACATCGGGCTGTACCCTACAAGATACAGATGCACGTAAGTGGAATGTGCTGCAATGAAACCCTTATAATAAGATGATCCTGTTAGATGATAATCCCCAGTGACTAGTTTCATTTGAGGGCTATAGTTCTGTACAGGTTCTCAATGCTTCAATGTTGCTACAAATTAAAACCGAATAACAGTAACAGAAAATGTAAACATAGTAAATATTTTCATCTCATCCGAGCAGGACTAGCTACAAACTCAGAGGACTGGTGAAATAAAGTTTAGACTAGTCTTGAAAAAGACCTAATTTCGAAGGCTGTTAGACCTGACCACAATCACAACATTCATATATATAGGTTTCATCCAAATTACCCTTTTAGATCCACCAACAGTACTAAAACCAGCTAAAATTGATCCTCAGTTTCCCTGCTCCCTTGTACCACTATGTGGCTGCTGGGTAGTGCTTGTCCTGGATGACTAGTCCAAGGCATACTACTTTACCATACCATACTTTTAGCAATATTCCAGCAATATCTCGGCGGGGGACACCAGAAATGGGCTTCACACATTGTACCCATGTCGGGAATCGAACCTGGGTTTTCGACATGACGAGCGAATGTTTTAACCACTAGGCTACCCGACCACCCCTTACCACTAAGATCAAGGCCATCAGGTGTTAAACCATACTAATTTAGCCACATCAAAAAGTTGTGCTTCACATACCGTTATCACAGCCTCTGACTGCAGTCATTGCAGGGTTATAGAAATTAACACTAGCCCACTAGCCTGGGGCTAGTACAAATTTCTGTGGGCTAGTACAAATTTCCCCATTTCTCCATTGTTTTAACATTACAAGGGCAATTTATCTTTACCCAGGCTAGGAAAGCTTTTGAGTTTAGTTCTAACCCTGCATTGTTGACATCCAGTTAACATTTTCCCTATCAGGACAAGCAGCAAGATTTGGGACCCGATTTTGCACAACGTACCCTCAAAGGATTTTATACTTAGAATTTGTTGACATCAATGACCAAAAAATCAAACAAAGTCTGTGCAAACGTCTTGAGTTGATGTCAATATGTCCATATTTATCAACATGATCAATAACATGTACATTTCACACATGATTTCATAAACAAACCCTGTTTGACAAGCGTGACACATAGATTTTATCTCTCCCAAGACAGTTGTTTGTTGCAATAGATTCAGTGAATGCATGTTCCAGTGACTGGACATTGATTTCCGGCACTCAATCATTTCAGGCTGATTGTGGCGAGAATTTCAAGATAATCAAAACAAAGGGCTCTGGCTTACCATGATTATCCCATTACCTGAGTGGACACAGAGAGACAGAGGTAATCAACAGGTTTACATGCCTGTGATTGAATCATTATGGGAGAGAGACAGCAACCATTACCTGAGTGGACACAGAGAGACAGAGGTAATCAACAGGTTTACATGCCTGTGATTGAATCATTATGGGAGAGAGACAGCAACCATTACCTGAGTGGACACAGAGAGACAGAGGTAATCAACAGGTTTACATGCCTGTGATTGAATCATTATGGGAGAGAGACAGCAACCATTACCTGAGTGGACACAGAGAGACAGAGGTAATCAACAGGTTTACATGCCTGTGATTGAATCATTATGGGAGAGAGACAGCAACCACTTCCTGTGGTTCAAATGTGTTTGTACGGTTGCTTTCCAAACACATGTCACATAAAGCATAAGATCTTCTTTAGCATTTGTTTATGGGTGGGTGGTTTTTTCTGTTCACTCATTCATGTTTTAATTCATTCTTTGTACATATTTTCATTTTAACCGAAAATTAGGATCAGTAAACAAGACAGTGGTTATATTAATACCTCTCCCTATATAGAAATCTAGTAACAAAGATAATCAAGGTGTATACATAATATTTAGACAAAAAATATCTAGGTGGTCAGTTAGTTAACAAACATGATCAGCATTGTCCGGTGTTGATAGTCAGAACGATGGGATTATACGTGATATTAAGTACTACATAATGTACACAAGATACATTTATATATATTATAGGTGAGGGTTAAGTGTAAAAATTAGGTTTAAATAAATAAATAAAACAATAAAATAACAATAAATTGCTTTAAATTTGATCATTACATATATTTCCCTTTGAAAGTAAACAAAGGAATGGAAGGCCACACCAAACCTAATTTATGTTGTCAGTATTTACTGCTGATATCTAACTATGTCCGATTATCAGGATAAATATTTAAGATTCAAATAACATAATCATTTCACATTAATAGACAAATAATTTTACACATGGTACTTTTTGTCATATACAGCTGTAATTATCAAATCAAGAAGGTCAGTGGTTCTGTCCCCAGCCGTGTCATACGAACAGACGTTTAAAGATGGTACTTGTTGTTACACATGCAAACACAAAAATGAAAAAAAAATACCCAATATGGAGTACTGGGGACCTCATCTCCCCCAGCATCCAATGGAATAATCAAGAATCGGGTCAAGCTATAACATATGTCTGTAGTATCAACAGTCATCATAGTACTCATGAACTGATGACGTCACTAAAAGAGTGATGATGTCATGATGACGTCATGATCAAGATGGCCTCTAGACAAGAACATGGCTGCCTCATGTAACTCATTTAATAAACCTAATCTGAAGCCATCCGGCCTCCATCTTAGATATTGCATGGTGTCAGAAGTCGGATATGAATCTACAGAGACTGAGTGAGCTATTTAATGCAATTTTGATGGACTAGAATTTGGCATTTTGCCAAAATAATTGAAGTGAATAGCCAGTGATAGTGCTAATGTTTAAACTCACATGCTAGTTTGAGTGAACATTTTGACTGATAAACTGAAGTCATAAGCACATCCTAGTTTGCAATCACAATTACTGAGGATTACAGAAGCTGTTCATTTATCCCAGTGGATATTTTCATCAGAAAAAGCATGGCTACATTCCAAGTGTCTCCACCTGATCGTTTCAATTTCAAGCAGCCTGATGAGTGGCCAAAATGGATAAAGAGATTTGCTCGCTTTAGATTAGCATCAAGACTGAACACTAAAGATGGTAATTTGCAAGTTTCCACGCTTGTTTATTCTATGGGGGAAGAGGCAGAAGACATATTAGCTACATTTAGACTTAATGAACAACAAGTGGCTGATTTTGACGTTGTGAAAACTCACTTTGAGAACTTTTTCACTGTTAGAAGAAATGTTATCTTCGAACGAGCCAAGTTTAACAAGAGACTACAAGAACCAGGTGAAACTGTAGATAGCTTCATCACTGCGCTCTATGGTCTGGCTGAACATTGTGCATATGGAACACTTCAGGATAATCTTATTCGTGACAGGATAGTGGTTGGAATAAGGGACACTGGTCTATCTGAACGACTACAGCTGGATGGTGAATTAACCCTTGAAAAAGCTATCAAGATGGCCAGACAGTCTGAAACTGTGAAAAGGCAACAACCAGTGGTCCATATACTGCGTCTGAAATGGAAAATGCTACGGCAAATGTTGAGGCGATAAAGGGAGGTAACTTCAAACATCACAAGAATAAGAAGTGGAAGAACCACCACAAGTCTCAACCATGTCACAGATGTGGCAAATCTCAACACAGGAAGGTAGATTGTCCAGCTGTATCTTCAACCTGCAGAAAATGTCAGAAAAAGGGACATTGGGATGTTATGTGCCGAAACCAGCCTGCAAATACCTCACAAACAAGTAAGAAGCGGTATGCAGTGAGTAATGTTGGAGGGCTGACAGAGGAAAATGACTGTGATTATGCATTTCTTGGATCTGTAGAGGATGTCTCACCTCACAGTAGTTTCAGTGATGACCCCTGGTATATTGACTTGCTAGTCGACAAGCGAGGTGTTGTTTTCAAAATAGACACTGGAGCCGATGTAACTGTTATTCCAGAATCTGTCTACAAAGAGATGAATTCTCCACCCCTCAAGAAATCTAACAGGATCTTATATGGAGCTGGGAAATCAGTTTTGAAATTGCTTGGTAAATTCACAGCAACCCTGAAATCAACAGATTGTTCATCAAAACAAGATGTGTACGTTGTAAGAGGTCTAGCTTCCCCTCTCATAGGTAAACCTGCAATTAAAGACTTGAATCTCATTCAGCGGGTACACAACATTGAAGACAGAGTATCACCAAATGAATATTGGAGAACCAAGTTTCCCAAGTTGTTCATTGGGCTTGGGAAGATGGATGGTGCCTACAACATTAAGCTTAAGGAGGGAGCGAAGCCTTTTTCTCTGAATACTCCAAGAAGAGTTCCACTTCCTTTACTCACCAAGGTGAAGAAAGAACTCGAGAACATGGAGAGAAGCGGTGTAATCTCACGTGTTGACGAACCTACGGACTGGTGTGCAGGTATTGTTGTTGTACCTAAAGCCTCAGGATCCGTTAGAATTTGTGTTGATCTGACCAAATTGAATGAATCAGTTCGTCGCGAAAATCATTCAATGCCAGTTGTAGACCAAACAATCAGCCAACTGAGCGGTGCTCAATACTTCACCAAATTGGACGCCAACTCTGGGTTTCATCAAATCGAACTAACAAAGAAATCGTCACTTCTTACCACTTTCATAACACCGTTTGGAAGGTTTAGATTCAATCGTCTTCCGTTTGGGATTTCATCTGCACCTGAACATTTCCAGAAGAGGATGAGTCAGATATTGGAAGGATTAGAAGGAACTTTATGTCAGATGGATGACATACTGATCTACGGTTCAACACAGGCAGAACACGACACAAGATTAGAAGCAACCTTACAGAGACTACAGGAAGCTGGAGTCACTCTCAATGACAAATGCGTCTTCTCAACTAACTCTGTGAGATTCCTAGGTCACATCATTGACAGTCATGGTGTTCGAGCTGATCCAGCGAAAATCAACGCTATACAAGATATGGCGGAACCTTCATCTGTTACGGAAGTTCGACGTTTCTTAGGAATGGTGAACCAGTTAGCAAAGTTTCTTCCAAATCTTGCAGATGATACTAAACCACTCAGAGATCTTTTAGTGAAAGACAACATATGGGTTTGGAATGAACCTCAACAAACTTCCTTTGATCGAATAAAGCAGAAACTCTGTACATCACCAGTGTTGACCCACTACAACCCAAGTGCAACAACTGTAGTTTCAACAGATGCTTCATCTTTCGGGCTTGGAGCAGTGTTACTGCAGAAGCAAATGGATAATTCACTCAGACCTGTTGCATATGCATCTAGATCACTAACAGTGACAGAGCAGAGATACGCTCAAATTGAGAAGGAAGCGCTTGGTATTACGTGGGGTTGTGAGAGATTCAGAGACTTTCTGATTGGACTGCAGTTCACAATTCAGACGGATCACAAACCTTTGATTCCGCTGTTAAGCTCCAAGAATCTTGAAGAACTTCCACCCAGAATTCAACGTCTACGTATGCGTTTGATGGCATATCAATTTCACATTGTACATGTTCCAGGGAAATACATGTACTCTGCAGATGCGCTTTCAAGAACTCCACTCAAGTCTGAAGGAAACAAGAGTGAAACTCAACTTCTACATGACGTTAACCTCTATGCAGATTCTGTGATGTCGGGCCTGCCAGCGTCTCAACAAAAGATACTTGAGATAAAGCGACAACAACTACAAGATGACGATTGTCACTTGCTTATTCAATACTGCACAGATGGATGGCCTTCATTGCACAAACTTCCGACTCAGGCGAGACAATATTGGACTCACCGAGGTGATCTCACAGCTATAGATGGACTGTTAATGTATGGACAGAGAATTGTCATACCTGAAGAAATGAGATCCAGTGTGTTAGATCGCCTACATGAAGGACATCAGGGGATAACTAAATGCAGAGCATTGGCGAGATATTCTGTATGGTGGCCTGGACTTGCAGTACAGCTAGAGAGAAAAGTACAAAACTGCAAAGTGTGTGCCAAAGAAAGGTCAAATTCAACTGAACCACTTATTCCTTCGGAACTTCCAGATCGTCCATGGATGAAAGTCGGTACAGACTTATTTGACTTTCGAAACAACCAATATGTCCTTGTTGTTGACTATTTTTCAAGATACATCGAAGTCGCCAAGTTATCAAGTACAACATCGGCAAGCGTCATCAATCAACTGAAATCAATCTTTGCGCGTCATGGAATCCCAGAATTTGTGGTATCTGACAATGGTCCACAGTATTCATCCCAGAACTTCAAAACGTTCTCCCTGGAGTATGAATTCATTCATCTTACAAGTAGTCCTCATTATCCACAAAGTAATGGTGAGGCCGAGCGTGCAGTTCGCACAGTGAAAAATCTACTCCAGAAGTCACCTGATGTTTATCTAGGTCTTCTTGCTTACAGATCTACACCTCTTGTTGGTGGACACAGTCCTGCAGAACTCCTTATGGGTAGACAACTCCGTTCAAATGTTCCTACTCACCCAAATCAGCTCAAGCCCAAGCAGCTTAACTTTGACAAATTCAGGGAGGAAGACGAACATCGGCGAGTCAAACAGAAAGAACTTTTTGATGTGAGACACCGAGCTCGAGATCTTCAACCGCTCAAACCAGGTGATCATGTGTTCGTGAAAGATGCTGACGGAACTAAACAAGGTTTAGTTCAGAGCAAGGATGAAGCCCCCCGTTCACGTGGAAACGGAGGGAAGAGTTGTGCGTAGAAATCGCAAGCATCTCATCCCAACATCAGCAGATAGTGGAACGCCAGTCAAGTTAGACTGTTCGAGGAAATGTGAAAACCCATTCAGCGAAACAGCCAACACCAGTGCTCAAGTCAACAACCCAGTTAACACTGCAACGACAAGATCTGGCAGGATGTCAGTGAAACCAAAAAGACTGGATCTGTGACTCTATGAAGATTCACTTTGTGTGAAAATGTGTTTAGAAATTTGATTTGACTTTAAATGCTGATTGCAGAGATAATGTTAATTTCTACTTACACTCAGTATTCATTCAAGTTAGCTTTGGTTAGAATATTGTGCTGTTATCTTTATAATGCAGCTTTTAAGGTCTAAGTTCAGCTTTCACTATTAGAGACTCTAACGTTAAAGTGCTGAACTCTTTTACAGTAATTAAAGGATTTAATCTCCTTCAAGACTTTCGAAAGGGAGATGTAGTATCAACAGTCATCATAGTACTCATGAACTGATGACGTCACTAAAAGAGTGATGATGTCATGATGACGTCATGATCAAGATGGCCTCTAGACAAGAACATGGCTGCCTCATGTAACTCATTTAATAAACCTAATCTGAAGCCATCCGGCCTCCATCTTAGATATTGCAATGTCCATACCTGATAATTCCTATAGAAATAGTTTCTGTGACGGACTGATTGAGCAAGTTGTTGAAGCGGTCGCGCCATATGTCAGCTGGAACCACGTACACATGGAGATCAACGAGCTGCAACAGAAAGTAACAAAATAACTCAACCTTCAACACCTGACATATCTGTCAAACACTTGAATATGAAAATGAGAAATAATAAAATCACAGACTCACAATTATGTTTAAATATGTTCAGATGTTATTTGCTTGTTATCTAAATAAAATATATACAGAAGTGAAAATGTGAACGGATAAGTACCTCCTGATGACAATAATTACCATGGTTACAGTAATGGTTACTTTCATTATCCAATATTAAAACTGTGCATGTAGAGATGTTATACAGGATACACATAGTGTGAGATGCATCTGTGCGCTAGGATCTGAAATGTCAGCACCAGTAGGAAGATGCTTGTATTATATATATATATCAGTATAAGTTGCACATAGCAGCACAATTCTTGGATAATTACACAAGAAATATCAAGAAAAGATTTCAAGGATGACATAATGACCCACATTTATCTTTGATGAGTGTATTTAAATTTGTTTTGGAATAACAATCCTGTTAATGAGGTAGTGTTTTAACAAATTACAAGCAACTTTTGTTTTAATAAGGTATTCCTTGTGTTTTAATACTATGAAGTAAGAGATTCAGACATTTAGACATTACAGAATTTTTTTTTGTACTTTTAGTTTAACAAAGCAGTCAGCAATATTTAAGCTAAATGATAGCTGCCTGTAAGTAAACATGTCTGGATCCCGTGATTGATATTCACAACATCATTTGCCAACATCAGGGTTCAATCAACCAAGTCACAAATCCTGGCCACCCTATCCTTTTAGTTGCCTCGTACAAAAGCATTATAAGGTTGCTGGGGACCTATTATAACATGGAATCTCCTCAGGGGTACCGAAATTATAGGTTTGGGAACACCAACAATGGGCTTAACATACTGTATAAAGAGGACCTTCGAAATTGGTTCCGCAGGGTGATGAGCAAACACTTTAATCACTCGGCCCAACCATTGCTCCTCAAATATTACAGAATAGTACCTCTGATTCCTTTTTTCTGAACATTCTGACGAGGCAATGTGCTGTAATCTCAATCTGACAGATGACTGTTACAGTCAAACAAAATCCACGTCGCCATGCACAGATACAGTACGCGATTATTGATTCACATTTCAAATATTTTATCATTACAAACACATCTCAAGTTATCAAACTGATTAAAACTAAAAATATATATTCATAAGTCTGCTCGGCGCCTGTGGATTGTCCATGAATTTTTGCAGCATTAGATTAAATCGAAATTTAATTCCAACTGCGGTAACATATTACAATGGTTTCTATAGACACATCAACACCTCCTATCATTACAGATGACACATCAATAACACCATCCATTCTAACATATTCATATCGATTATCTCAACTCAACCCGGAGATTAATCCGACCGCCAATTTCACTAATTTATTGATGATGTCAGGGCTTAGAACCCATGAATTTTGACCATAAAGGTGCATTTGTCAGCATGATGAAGGAACCTTCAGGACGGAATGACAATGGTGAGAATATGTTGTCATCAGCATTGATTGATTAAGTATCACCACAGTATATCTCCACTCATGACATAGGCCATCACCCTGTTGTAGTCTTGTTGTCATAGCCATATTGATCTGTCGTACATACAATTACAGCTTCTTCTTCTCCATCATCTCTATCTCATTGTCAACTGTCCTATGGGGATACGGCCGGATCTGGTCCTCATACCTGACCCAGCCTTGTCATAGCAATTAGGAGGGTTAAAGAATCATCGTTTATACAGCAGGGTTTTACGCAACACATACATGTAAAGAATGGACGCTGAAAGAAATATATAATGAGTCCCAAGGGACGCACAATAATATTTGTTGTACCTACAGTGCATCAAGAGCAGTTTAGGTGTCTGTTATTTCATCCATCAATCATGACCACAGTCCACATGATTCATTCCATGCTCCAAAGTAATTATCAAAATGTACACTACACTACACCATTTCATTACTTTACAGGACCCTCATATTGCCTGCAAGGACCCCTAAAATTAATTATTGGGGGACCCCTGGACCCCGACTTTTGTAAGTCAAGGTAAAAAAACCTGCACAGTCTGTGCCAAAAACGTTGAAGTCTACTTGTCCAAACTTATTTTTTATCATCATTTTTAGTAGATTTTAGTCTTCGCATATAGACTACCATAACTGATGTTGCTTGAACTAAAGACATTTTACTACAATCCCACTTTTGAAAAGTGGCTAAGGTCACAGATTGTACATATCCATGATACTAACAGCGGAAATATAAAACGCCAAAGTCAGAGAATAACGCAGGTGATCGATTATCCGCTGAAACAGATGCCCTTGGGCGGAAATGGCAAAATAGTGGTTAAAATTACATGACTATATCACTGAAAATCAGTGATGACACAAGGTGTTCGTGAAAAGGGTTAGCATGTTCTTGTTTCAGGTAGCACCCACCACTCATAACATTTGCACAAAAACAGTTTGTTGTCTGATACTGCACACTAAACAAACCAAATGGTCCATAATTATTAGGTGTTACCATGGTAACCAGAAGGATGACCATGCTCATTAGATCAACCACTGGTTTGTCTGGTCCAGACTTATTTACTGGCTGCCATGAACCTCCATGATATAGCTGGGATATTGCTGACTGTAGTGTAAACAACACACCAAGTAGTCCACAATTCATTTCAATTGGTTGCAATCTCATGAAAATTAGATTTTAGTTCTCACGACCGCTAAACAAAGATCTGAGGATATCCCAATACAGGTCATTTCATTATGACCTTTCATCCAAGCAAACAGATCGGGAAAGTGACAGTCGGAATGTGGTTTCTAATCACGCAACTTTGAAAAGGCTAACACGGTGTATTCCAAATGACAGTTACGGCCTGTTACTCGCTTCAGTTGGATAAACATTTGAACGAAAGAAACTTTGCATTGTCCATGGACAATCTCGGCCATCTATTAGACATTCTAGATTATCCTTTAGTTCAGTTAAATGACAATTACGGCCTGTACGACTGATTCTCTCAAAGTCATCGTCTATCACTCGCTTCAGTGGGATAAATATTTGAATGAAAGAAACTTTGCATTGTCCATGGACAATTTCGGTCATCTATTAGACAATCCAGATTGTTCTTTAGTTCAGTTTTTAAATTTTGAATCAAGAACTTTGTCAATATATTTTTCAAATGATAGTTGCCAGTTTGAAACTAGTGCCATGCACATGATGCAGGAAACTGCTTTCTGATTGGCTAATGTCGACTTCTTGTTAAGATTTCTTTGGTCGGTAAAAATTCATGAAAGGTCATTATGACGTGAGATCTTTGTTTAGCGGTAGCAAGAACTAAGATCTGACATAAATGAGATTGGAATAATTGCATCTGTAACAATCAAACATTCTTACCACACTTACTCTTTGCAACTTGTGATTGTGCTAAGAACACAACCTGGAAGTAAGTAGTGTTTTAAGGCTGGAACGGGTAACTCAACTCGGGTACTTGGGTCGGGTGGGTACTGAGTAGGACCCGGGTACCCACAGGGCTACCCAGACCCGTGGTAAGTCATGTGATATATTGTTTAATGCAAAAATTATCTAGAACCCTATGGTTACACTACAAGTCACTAATGTTCGCATTTCTTTCTGACTGTGCAGCCATTCCTTCTGACTTTTCACATGGTTGAATAAAGATATAACTTAAGTCAACTTCAGTGTATGCATGGCCAGATTGTTTAATACATGTATCTAAATGCGTTTTTCCAGGGCTATGGTAAAAAAATCCCAATCGGACATTTTGTACCTATCTTTTGAGAGCTACAGTGGGTACCCAGGTAGCATCGGGTAATGGGAGGGTGGGTACCCCGGTAGTAAATTCGGACTCGTCCCAGCCCTAGCAGTCTTGTATAGCACATCTAAGGAATTAAGGTGTTAATGAGCAGCCAAACAAATCATTTCTCCCGCAATCTTCTGTTATGGCTCAACTTTATACACACAAGCCAATCACCGCCATTATGTGGTACAATATTTGCAACCCCTTCCATCAAGACACTCTTCACCTTTCTATTGATTCAAGGTTAGGAGTTTCAAACAAGGGCTTTCAAGCCAATTTTTGTTCTTTGAAGGGGGATTTTGGATTGATTATTTATTTCCGACACCCGATCTCATTCATAACCAACCACCCCCTGTTCCATTTGTTACCATTTACATTCTTGGACATGGTACTCCATCATGTCCAGCGCCGGGTGATACTGGCATCTTGTGATTACGTTAGTCACTTTGTTTGTCAAGGCATCACACTAGGGAAAAGAGATTACCTGCACTGTATTATGTGTTATAATGTACTATAGGATTGCAACAAAATTGGGGTAAAATTGTTGTACTTGACAGTTTGGCAGGGTCAAACAGTAATATGATGATATCCCTATTTAGGAATATAAATACAATAAGAGACAAGTACACACTGAAAATATATTTTTCTATATCACTATTTAAATTGCAAAACTCTGTCATGAAATTGGGGGTCTCAATTCAGTGCTCTATTGACATAATTGAGACATCCAGGACTAATCAATACAATAAAAATAAGAAGATGACAAATCCCCCCAACCCCTTAAAATTCGAACACAAGAGTAGTCATTGAGCAATCAAAACAATACCATGGGATTCGGTATTTCTATGTCAGGTAGTCACACCACTATGAACAGAGTCAAAATCAAACTTGTTGCCATGGAAACAGAAAGAATTTTTTTCTCTAAAGGCACCAGTTGAACCTGGTCTTTGTGTGTGCATAGTTTTAAGAAAGAGTACCTGTTAGCTTTAGAGAGTATTTAAGTATTTAATAAATATTTAAGGAACCACTTCAGGATCTGTTTTCGAATCACTCTCCGGAAACGAAATGATAACTGATGGACAGACTGATGGGGCATCGACTATATCCCCCGCATTATATGCCACAGAGGTAAAAAGTTAAGGACCACCTAATACTTTCATTTTACTATAGCTAATATGTCATGCCATGAACATGATGAAAGATCAACTATAGCAATATGAAAGAATCATGCCATGACAGATTAACTAACTTAATATAAAAGCATCAGATGTTCTAAACATTTTGGGTGTAGTATAGGGTCACATAATCATCATAGTATGAACTCAAATAAATACTGATCATAGTTATCAAGGAGAAGTTCAAAGTATCATCTGTAACAGTCAATAAAAAGTAATCTGGCTCTATCGTTCATTATCTGTAATAATTATTAGTTATCTAGATCTTTAAAAAGAATTTGACAAGGTTGCCTCCTTGACTTGTAAGATAAATACAAATCATGTAAATACATCTGTCAGAATGACATCGGTCATCAAAAGCAAACAATTTCAAAATGACAGTTGAGGACAATTTACCTTATAGAGCGTGTCACTTCGCGACAGAACCAAGACATCAGGAGCATCAGCAGTTCGGCTAAACTCCGACATTTTCCACCATTAAACCATGTATCCAAGTAGTACTCCCCCTTTCAGTCTACCCAACAAACTACAAACTGGTTCCTAACTTCACTCCTCAATTTAATGTCAGATGCCGACGCATCTTCATGAAATACAAACATCCTCTCATCTCCATGACGACATCCATCAATCAACAAGACTCATCTAGCTAACCAATAAGATTGCAGGCAATACTGTCTAATGTCAACGCCTCAATGATTCCTGTGTGAATTGTTACGCCTGACAAAACATTTAAGACACTTGTTAATCAATACAACCTTTAGAAGATAGGTGAATCTATGTGGTACATCGTGCTCGGAGCATCCTCCGGCATCATGGTTGCCATGCGGCAGTATTAATCGCTTATGTGTGCAAAAGAGAATCAATCAAAATTTTATTGACTGTCCCATACTTCAAATTTACATAGACTCTGGCCACCCAGGTTCATATAGTTAATATTTTAACAAGTCGTGAAAATACAGTTACATGAAAAGTTTATGCTGGGGAGGAATCATGATTTAGTTAACAACGCTGATTTCGTAAGGAGCAGTACGAGATATATTTTTATCTTCTTTTCTTGTACTACAGCTGAGTGCCAGGGAGGGATGCCGTAGTTATGACAACAGAGAAGTTGATAATAGCCATTGATACATAAACTGTTAAGAGTACAATCGTAATGGAAAACTTTCAATAACACTACTGTGACGCCTGCGCGGGAGATATTGAAGTCGTGTGACAACACAGAGAGTCTTCAGGGCACTGTAACCAGTTGGCTTAGGTCAAACAGAATAACATTGGTACTTTCACTGATCAGCCCATTCATGCTACCTACTACACATACTTAAGAAATAAAGGATGAGTGGGAGTTGTTTATTGTACAATAAAACCCTGCAGGGAGAATAAACCATAGGGGGCGCCGCCCTAAGTGGTTTATTCTCCCTGCAGTGTTTTATTGTACGATAAACAACGACCACGAGTCGTTTATTTCTTATATGAGATATCAAAATTATGTACAGCCTCTCTAAGGATGTTGATAAAATGTACAAGCTTTAAAAATATTTACCCAAATTTTAATAATGATGACTCCCTGAATAGATTCTGACCTCTAAATGTCAGACAAGTCTATTTTATGAACATTTGGGTTAAGTTTGGTATTTCCAAGATATCCTCACGACGATGGTCTGTACCTTTTCTCCTATGACGGTATTAGGAGTCCTAATACCGATTGTCAAATGTCCCCCACTTTTGGATGCAATCGTACGGCCACTGCGTTTATCTACGAAGCACAGCTACATCTATGGGGAACAACTCACTGGACACTTCCCTCTCAAAAATAACATCGTCCAATATATGACGTCATCAAGTTGCGAGCACGTATTCTAATCTCCAATTATGACATCATGATGGAACAGTGTTTTATTGTGAAATAAACCATGCTTCCTTCTTCATTGTTCTTTGCTATTTATCGTGTAGCTATCTTACATTTTCTGATAATAACTACAACCAACCCATCATTATGTCCAACCAACATGTACATTAATCGAGAATTCATTCAATAGATGCTGTTAAGTTGAAATACTTCATTTTCAAGTGATAAGTTACATTAGTTTTATACTTAACATAGTTTCTAAAACAAGACACAGTGTAAGATTGGAGGAAGTTGTGTAGGGGTTACTGGGAGGCACGAACCGTCTGCAAAGAACAAAACTGAAGCCTTAGGACAACAGAATCTATGGCTGAAAGTCTCAAGCCTCTGACATCTGTGGAAGACCAATGTTTCCTCCCGTCTCTTGTGGATTATATAAGTCATCCACCGGTCCCCTTGGTGATGTGGGTTGATGTACCCTCCATGTAAGGTTATGTTCAGAACAAAAACTGACATACAGTCAAGTCTCATTTATCCAACACTCGTTAATCCGACAATCGGCTTTATGCAACACTAATTATGGGAACCGATGAAATCAGTGCTATTTAGACCAATTAATCCGACAGGCTCGCACTCCAACTCCGACACTAGTAATTTGCAACAAATTACCGAAATCACTCATTAATCAGTCTTGTTAATCCGACACAGTGATCAGCGTACTCCGTGGTCATCTGCCCACAAGCTTTAGAGGTTGCATTATTAGAAAACATATTCCGCAAACAATGTAACACAACAACATAAATATTTCATTTTTCATTTTTTTATTATGTGTTTGTAACTTATCTAGCGCGTAGTTGTCCGATTTTCGATCACGAACGTCGATTCTACTTAATTTTGTCTATCTGAATAATACTAAATAATTTGACATTAACATATGCAAAAAAACATGTCAGATTAACGGGACTTGACTGTAGTGAGTTCAGCAGCCCAGGTCACCAGAAGACCGGTGTACAACAAATTTATCTTATAGACCTAATTATATTCCAGGTATGTCTTATGCATGCATGCATGCTATGGTCCGAATCAGTAAGTTTTCAATACCACAGTTAGGCATTCATCCACTTTGGTGAAATAACAGACGACAGAAACAAACTTAGAGTTATTTCCCCAGATCTATTTCATTCGGAAAATATTTGAGGTTTGTATGTTGCAAATGTAATGACAAGAGGTAGGAAATTCGAGCGGGGAACATAAGAAATGAACCTTACATGTTAGCGGGATACATTAAAATAATAGAATGGGTCTCAGCCAATCAGAATCCGTTGTAAGCTAAGATAAAAGTCAATAGGTGAACGTCCTTGGATGTTTTGTTTGCTTGTTTGTCTTTTAACGCCTCACTCAGCAATATTCCAGCTATATGACGGCGGTCTGTAAATAATCGAGTCTGGACCAGACAATCCCATGATTGACATCATGAGGATCGATCCACTCAATTGGGATACGATGACATGCATCAATCAAGTCAGTGAGCCTGACCACCCGATCTCGTTAGTCGCCTCTTACGACAAGTATAGTCACCTCTAACGGCAAGTATTGGTTGCTGAAGACCTACTCTACCACGGATCTTCACGAGTGACCTACAATGTCAGACATCGTTTACTTCCACAGAGCTCTTAAACATGAACCCTGCTTCGTCCTTGGGTGGAGAGGATTGCTGCTTCTGACATTGTGCTCTGTGTCTACTGGAGTGAGTGAGTGAGTATGGTTTTAAGCCGCTTTTAGCAATATTCCAGCAATATCACGGCGGGGGACACCAGAAATGGGCTTCACACATTGTACCCATGTCGGGAATCGAACCCGGGTCTTCGGCGTGACGAGCGAACGCTTTAACCACTAGGCTACCCGACCGCCCCCAAACATCCAGGAGTGAGTGAGTGAGTGAGTATGGTTTTACGCAGCTTTTAGCAATATTCCAGCAATATCACGGCGGGGGACACCAGAAATGGGCTTCACACATTGTACCCATGTCGGGAATCGAACCCGGGTCTTCGGCGTGACGAGCGAACGCTTTAACCACTAGGCTACCCGACCGCCCCTGTGTCTACTGGATGGATGGCAGGTGAGTGGGTCTACATATTCTCATTCTCAGTGTTGCTGAGTGGGGTTGAACATCATAGAGTTTGTTTTGGTATCAACATACTAACCATGCATTTATGGTCAATGAAATAATAATGGAAAATTAAGTCAATCACTTATTCTAACAGTCGATTTCATCAATCATTTATGTTTACTTGTTTCAAAAAGCATTCATTGAATGTCACACTTCAAAAATAAACCTTCACTATAAGTATTTATTGATACTATCACCTCATCAATCATTAGTCTGTAGTAGCAGATTCATTATCAAGTACTAATCTAGCTTGAGAAAGTATTATTGCCATATTCTTCACATTAAGCACACTTCACCAAGAATCCTGTTGTAGTGATCCGTCATAAATATATGCTTATGATATTATAAGAATCGTACAACGGGCTCGTCTTTTAGAAAATATTTTTTGTGATTGTAGAAAGTGTTTTGTCGCTTCTGTTCATATTCATATCGGCTCTGTTCAAGGATATTGACTGTTTGTCAAAAATGTCTTGATGACTAATTCTCAAATTTGGTAATTATATGCTGACATGGAAAAATGTAGCTGAACATCATTAAAATGTCTCCAACAAAATAATGATATTGGCATGGTTATAAAAAAACAAATGTTCCTCTGCATAGACTTTCTCAGAATCCAGATAACTATATCTTCTTCCCCGTTCTGTTCAATAATCTATAACAGGTCCTCAAGTGCAAAGTTGAAAAGTTGACATGTTTCTACATGATGGAAAGTTATGTTGACTGAAAGTCAACAAACAAGGCCAAGTTTAAACCCAAAGAACATGTACAATATCAGTCCGTCGTCTCTTGGAGATACGGTATCCTTCATAAACAAATCTCACCGTACCTTGACGACATGACAATCTCGTCCCACAATCAATAACTTGTTAATATTGTAATTGATGATTTCTTGTCAATCAGACCAGCAAAGTCCCATATTGATCGAAATGTTGATTAGGAAAGCTGAAGATATTGAACACATTCTTTGATGAAGAACAAAATATACTTTTTGCTACTTTGAGTAATATTTATGTTTTGCATCAGTTGACTTCATATTGATTTCAATCAATAACAGATGTTTTATGGTCACATTTCTACAGTAAAAAGTAATATTGATCTTTCTATCTTCTCAAGTGAGACATATGTGTGAACTCCATTTGTTTATGATTAGCCAACCAAACTTTCTTTTTTTACAGGGTTCCTTGGATTCTTGATGAAGGCACATGATCATTATTTTTTAATGTGTGCAGTTATTTCACTGGCAAAGAACGGACATTATTACTTCATTAAAGAACCCTGGTACAATACATTTGCCAATTTGTTTAATCCAATTAAAATATCAAACAATTATTGAAAACTGTGCAAGAAATAAAGCAGTCCTTAAGTGTTCAAGTCTGCAATGCCCGAAATGTATGTGTTTCAAATTGCTGGCCTGGAACAAGAACATTCCAAAATTAATTATACATGTATCTCATTGATATCCAATCAAAATCATTTGCATTTGATTTCAATATACCTCATATCACATTGTTTGTTAGTTGTTTAATGCCGCACCCAGCAATATTCCAGCTATATGACGGCAGTCCGTAAATAATCGAGTCTGGACCAGACAATC